CAGATGATTCAAGGGCCTGCCCCATCCTCATCCACAGTTGGGAGCCCAGTACCAAGTGTGAGGAGCCAGAGCCCGTGCAGTGCCCAATGTGGGGTGATGCAGGGCACTTATATGAAGCAAAAAATAGGGACAGAATCCAAGCAACCTGTACCTGAACAAGGATCCAGGCAGCCCATGCTTAATCCAACATTCAGGCAGCCTGGGCTAGAATCACAACAACATAAGGCTGGACAATTTCTACAAAAAGTAGGTCCTAGTCTTAATCACTGACCTCAGGATTCAACAGAGCCTACCCACACCATAGAGGAGTGCAGGAGTGTAGTTTGACTCCAGCACAAGCCTGCAATCCAGAAAGTGAGGCTGGAGAAATGAATAAACAGGAGAAAACATCAAATACAATGTAGAAATACCTTGGACTGAGAGAAGCTCAAGGGGTAAACCCAGAAGAAGAAGAGAAAAATTCCACAAGTCCAAGTAGAACCTCAGAGAAAAAGAATGTCCTGGCCACAAGGACTACAAGAGTACCTGGAAGAAATGAAAGAAGAGATACAAAATGGAACATATAGGGAGGAAAAAATGGCAGGGAGAATTAATACCTTAGAACAAATGGTGGTAAACTGGGCTCAAGAATTCAACTTTCTGACTCCAGGAGATAATAAGAAATATTAAACAAAATCAAAAGATTGAAAAAAAATGTATGGTATGTAATATCAAAATAACTGACCTGGAACGTAGGTCAAGAAGAAAGAATCTAAGAATCAGTGGACTACCTCATGCCCAGAAAAATAAAGCTTGAATATAATATTTCAAGAAGTCATACATATATATTGCCCAGATAATTTAGAACCAAGGGGCAGAGTGAAAATACAAACCCCAAAATGAAAACTTCTAGTAGTGCCATAGCCAAATTCCAGAACTTTCAAATTAAAGAAAAAATATGGCAAGCAATCAAAAAGAAAGCATTCAAGTACCAAGAAACCATGATTAGGATCACACAAGACTTGCCAACTGACATTATAAAGGAATAGAGAAGTTGGAGTATGGTGTTCCAAAAGGCATAAAGATAAAACTAATCTTTATCAATACTGGCAATACTTAGTAGACAGAGAAATTCAATTTAAAATACCTATTGAATGTTAAAAAAAAAAAGCTATAGAATTAGACTATAGAATGCAACTACCAAACAGTTTTTACTGAAAACACAGGAAGACCCAAATAATTTGAGAAATAATAATTATTTGGCACAGGTTGAGCCAATATAATAAAAATGACAACACTGTGTAAATTAATTTACTTATTCCATATCAATGAAAATACAGATTACTATATAGAACTAGAAAAAGTAATACCAAAATTCATCTTGAGGAACAAAAAGTCAAGAACTACAAAGAACATAATTTTTAAAAAGTGGGAAAGAAGGTGGCCCAGCAGTACCAGATTTCAAATTATATTACAAAGCAGCAATTCTTAACATGATTTTAGGCTAGTTAAAAAACAAAGGTAATCTAATGTCTGATAAACCTAAGACTCCAGCTACTGAAGTAAAGAATCACTATTTGATTTTTTTAAAAGCTGCTAAGAAAAATAAACAGTAGTCTAGCAGAAATTAGGTATAAGCCAACATCTCACACCATATTTGGAACCTATCCAAACATATAAATGACTTAGATATGAAGGGTGACATCATAAACAAATTAGAGGAGTAAGGAAGAAATTAGCTTTCAGATGTATGGATATGGGAAGAGTTCATGACCAAGAGGAACATAGAGAATTATGGAAGATAAAATGGGCAATTTTAATTACATAAAAAGGTTTTGCCCCAAAAAACCAATACAGCAAAAATTAGAAGGGAAAGAGGCAAGTAAGGGAAAAAAATCTTAGCAGCATGTTTCTCTGATAAAATTTCATATCCCAATGTATCTAAGGAATTGATTCAAATTTATAAGAAAATAATTTCTTAACAGATAAATGGTCAAAGTATAGGAACAATGTTTTCAAGGAAACGAAATCCAAGCTATCAACAACCATATGAAAAGAAATGCTCCAAATCACTAATAGTTAGAAAAAACTCAAATTAAAGTAACTCTTAGTTTCCAACTCACAGCAATCAGAAAGGCTAAGATAATCACTGTTGGAGGAGCTGTGGGAAACCAAGCTCACTACTGCACTATTGGCAGAACTGTGAATTGGCCTATAAAACAATTTGGAACTATGCCCAAAGTCACTAAATTATACATATATCCTTTGACCCAGAAATAAAACTACTACATATATCCTCCAAAGAAATCAATGTACATGTATTAGGGAATGGCTAAAGAAATTCTAGTATATCAAAATAATGGAATGTTATTGTGCCACAAAAAATGATGAAATGGATAGTACCAGAAGAAATGTATAAACAGATACAGAGTGAAGTAAACAGAACCAAGAAAATAAATTATACAAAATTAGAAAAACAACTTTGAAAGACTTTAAAACTCCAATCAAGCAAAGACAAAACATGATTCCAGATGATCAAAGATCATCTTCAGGCTACTCATCTCCTGACAGTGAGGTAATGGACTCAAAATTCAGAATAAGACATATATTTCTGGACTTGACAGTTTGCTTATCTTGAGTCTACTCATTTATTACAATACTTTCTTTTTTGTTCAATGGATGAGTGGTGGGGAACAGATGGGGAATTCAGGTGAGGACCCAAGTGTAAGAGAGAGAGAAAAAGAGAAAATATATGCTTATTAAACAGAAAGAAATTACTTTTCAGATCTTTGGATAGTGAAAGAGTTTGTGACCAAACAGGATAGAGAGGATCACCAAAAAATTAACAATTTTGATTATATAAAATTTTTAAAATTTAATTTTTCAAATTAAACATAATTTAAAATATGATTATAACTGTATAAACAAAACGAGTGCAGTTAAAATTAGAAAAAAAACAGTTTAACTGGGAAAAAAAACTTTGCTGGAAGTTTCTCCGACAAACGTCTCATATCCACAACATATAAGGAACTGATTCAAATTTATAAGAATAAGAACTATTGTTTAGATAAATAGTCAATGGATATGAACACATAGCTTTCAGAGGAAGACATCCAAACTATCAATCATATGAAAAAATGTTCCAAATCACTACTAATTAGAGAAATGCTACTGAGCTCCTACTTCACACCCATCAGACCAGCAATGATAAAAGAAGAAAATGAGAACTGTTGGAGGGGCCTTCGGAAACCAGGCAGACTAGTGCACTGTCACTGGAACTATTACTTGGCCAAGCCATTTTCAAAAGCGATTTGGAACTATGCCTAAAAAGTAAGGAAAATTATGCATACATACCTATTGACCCAGCTGTACTAATGCTAGGCCTCTACTCCAAGGAGATCAAAGAAAAAGAAACCACATGTAAAAAATTACATATAATAGCTCTAGAGCTAGAAACTAAGGGGGTGTTTATCTATTGTGAAATTATTAAACAAATTTTGAGATATGGATGTAATAGAATACTGCATTGTAAAAAATTATATAATGGACATTTTCTATGAAACCTGGGAAGACCTGTATGAACTGATGCAAAGTAAAGTGAGCAGAACCAGGAGAGCAATTTATACAATAACAACAATATTATACATATTAAAAAAATGATGAAGAACTTGAGAACTCCGAGCAATGTAATGACCAATAATGATTCTAGTGGATTGATGATGAAGCATGGAACTAGCCACCCATCTCTTGACAAAGACATGAAGGACTCAGGATGCTGCCTATGACATCTATTTTCAAACACAGGCAATGTAGGAATGTGTTTTGCTTGACTATGCATATTTGTTACCAGGGCTTTCATTTTCTTTCCTTTAAAAAAAAAACAAATGGCATGGGGTAGGAGGGAGTGGAGGAATAGGCATGTGAGGGGTGGGGTGGGCGGGAAGAAGAGACACTCAATTAAGACATCTATTTTTAAATTCTGAGAGAAAAAAAAAATAAGAGAAAGAAAGCCAAGAAGAACCACAGAGAATCAAGATTCCGCTGAATGTTAAAGGTTGAACTTGTACTTAATAAGAAAAAGCAAGCTGTACAAAACAGATTTGCAGTTTTATGTACAGTCCTTTTTATGTTTTATTATAATATGTATAATGACCCAGGGTCACTTCTACTCTATAATGAGATACTAAAGTAAAAGTGGAGGCAGAATAGTATTGTTTTATTTATTTTAAATTTTGAATATATCTTTTGTGTCTATATTGCTTTAATTTCTGAATATATCTCTCACTCAGTGAGCCACGTCTTCTAACAAAGAATAACAAGCATTTTAATAAAGAATAAAAAAGAGAAAAAAAAGCATTTCAGTAAGACTAGCTAACACATTGAGTCTGACCCAGGTTCTCTGACTAAATCTATTATGCTTTCCATTATACTATTCTGCTTCTAAATATATTACCAAATCATTCATTCCTTTTGTTTTAACTTTGGTTATATATATGTATGTGTGTGAAAACACAAATTTATTAACACACATGAATACATGTATAATGTACACACACACACACACACACATATATATATAAATACATGTGTGTCTATATGAACATATAGATATAAATAACTAGTAGCATCTAAGCTAACCATCCTTCCCAAATTATTCTTCAGATTTTTCTGAGATTTGGAGTGCTATAAAAATGCCATAGGAAAAAAATAATTATTGCTTTGATTTTTTTTTTAAAGCCTGAACCTATGATTTCATTGTTGTAGGGAACTCCTATGTAGAAACTCCTTTCCTAAGTGGAGACAGGCAATGTTTCTAAAGTTTCTAGTCTTAGAGGGAAATGAGAGGGTTAAGTGACTTGTTTATGGCCACACAGCTAATAAGTGTCACAAATCTGACTGAAGGCCAACCCTCTGTCCACTGAGCAATACCGCTTTTAGAGTAAAAATTATTTAGCTAAAATAATAAGGAAAAAAGTCTCAGTGAAGAATTTAAAATAAATAATTCAGCTTAAAATCCTTACCATCGTGAATCTCATAAGCCAAACTAGTGATCTTCTGTGTAATTATCATCATTGGGCTGTGGCAAAGAAAATGAAAACATTTTAAAAGAAAATCATAAACACAGTATCTACATATTTTAAAAAGATTTTTTCATTGTTTCTATGACAACAAAAGTTGATTAGAAAATCTCATTCCACAATTTGTTTATAAAGATATGTTTTAAGGAAAAAGAATAACATGTCAATAGCAACAAAAAACAAGTATTTTTTTAAATTCTAAAGTTTAGTTTTAATATTTGTTTCTAACAATCTTTGTGTGATAATTTGTAGGAACAAAAAAGATAAAAATAAATTTCTTAGGCCTATAGTAAATCATATATGTTGGTATTTCAAAAGGGTTACATTTTTAAAGAAAAAGATTTATTTTGGGGAAAACATGTGTTTTCCTGTTCTGTTTGGACAGGTATATCTGGGAAGCAGTCCTTCACTCCTTCGTGGCCATTACTATTTACCTGTGATAGCTATCAGATAGGTAACACAACCACCTATCAAAGATTTAAAGCTGCGTATAATAATGAAATTGAGGGACTGTGAACCATTTATCAATGAAATAAAGGGATGATAAAACACACCTAACAAGTGCATTTCAGCAAAACTAATCAACACATTCACCAAGTCTAACAGCATATTTAATGTTGTACATTCACAGTCCTTTGCCTCTGCAAAAGAGAGGCAAAAAATCTTTTCTTTGGGAACAAGTCAGGTCGTTATAATTGCACAGCAGGACTTTATTCTTTTTCATTATTGTTCTTTATATTTATACCTTTGAAGTCATTTTATACATACTTTTCTAGTTGTTTACTTCATACTCTATCAATTCATACAAGTTTTTCCAAGATTCTTTGAATTCCTCATATTGATAATTTTTATAGCATAGGAAATTCTGTTAGGTCCATATAACATTATTTGTTTAGCCATTCTCCAAATAATGGGCATCTACTTAGTTTCAGCTTTTCTGCTACTACAAAAAGGTGCAGGTATGAATGCTGGGTTGCACATGGGACCTTTCATTTGCTTCTTTGTCCTCTTTGAGTATGTATCTAACAATGGAATCTCAAAAGTCAAAGGGCACAGACATTTTAATCCATCAAAAAAATCCAAATTGCTTTCCAAAAAGATTAAACTAATCCACAGCTCCAACAACATTACTGGGTACTACTGTATATTAAGAAAGTATACAGGAACCAGAAGGAGGAAACGTGGTGGGGGGCCCTTGGGTGAATATCAGTAAAGGCAGAAAAATTTAAGCAGTTTGGTGAGTTAATTGTGTATCCATTCATTGCAGTGAACAGGTTCTTAAATCTTTCAAAGTTGGTTTTCTTCATAATGTTGCTGATATTGTATAAATTATTCTCAGGATTCTGCTCACTTTAGTCTGCATCTGTTCAGATAAATCCTCCCAGAATTCTTTGAAACTGTCCTTTTCGTCACTTCTTATGGAACAATAATATTCCATTATATTCACATATCACAACTTGTTCAGATATTATCTAATTGATGGGTACTCCCGTAGTTTCCTGTTCTTTGTTACAACAAAAAGAGCTGCTACAAACATTGATCTCTGTGAGGTACATAAAGGCCTAGTAGTAGTATCACTGGGTCCAAGTATATGCCCAGTGTATTGACTTTTGGTGCGTAATTTCAAACTGCTTTCCCCAAAATGATTGGACCAATTCACAGTCCTATCAACAGTATACCAGAGTGCCTGTTTTTTCTGTAGCAAACACCTCTAGCAACTGTCATTTTCCTTTTCTGTCACCTTTGCTTATCTGATGGATGTGAAATGGAATCTGAGGAATTTAAATTAAATGGAATTTAATTTGCAGCATTTACTCTTTAAAAATATTCTTCACAGATAAGATTCAGACCCCATTTTAGGTATACATCCTCCACTAATCTCCTGCATACAGATGTAGACCAGCTGATGTTTTATATTTATGTTTTCAAGTCAATTAAGATCACCCTTAATCTTTCCTCTTATGGCAAAAAAAAAATCAAATTTTAATTCTTCCTCATAAATTCTATATTCTAACCTTTTAAATATTTTAGTCTACCTAATAAATTCTAAGAATACCTACGAGTTCCTGGAAGTTTAATAAATAAATCCTAATTTCACTCAATAAAAAGATATACTCTTTAGTATAAAAATGGACCTTCTTTAAATGAAGAAAATTAGAAAATTAACATCTCAATTTTCACAGTATTTTTCAGTAGTTTAATATATTTAACCCTTATATTCTATAATTCTATACATAATACATAAAAGGATATAAATATAATAATGATAAATATTGCATTTTATACATCTTTGTGCCTTTCTTCCATGATGATATAGGATTTAAAAATTAAACTGTACAATACTCCTGTGGATTTAGGTAGTTGTAGTGGTTTAGACTGTTGAAATGAACAAATGAAAGTAGAAACATTTAAAAGGATTTTCCCCAAAGTCACATGCTATCAATGGCAAAGCCAAGAAGACTGACTTGAACTATTGCCTACTTCTTAGGGAAAAGACCATCCTTTCTTATATTAAAATGAATGTGTGACAAAGATGAACAAAGTAGAATAAATTTAACTTTCAAACTAATTTCTAAGAAGTATAAAAACTAAATTGACTTTGTTATTCTACTTAGATAGTATTAAAATTCTGTTTGCAAAAATGCTTATCTAAACAACTAGGCCTTTTATTATCTAGCCTCCTGATGACAGGACAGGCTCAAAATCAGAGATTCTTTAGTCTTCCTACCTGGGGGGATAATAACCTTATCAATATTAGAGCTGGAACCCTGGTTGGTCGGTTGTCCTTCTTTCTCAAAGAGGACCAAAAGGACATCACTATGTCAAGAGTCAAGGTACAGTGTTGAACAGCTTCTCATATTCTTGCTATAATGGAAAGTGTACTGAATTTGGAACCAGAAGATCTAGGTTAAAAATCTCTTTTTTGTCATTTATTACTTTGGTGATCTTGGGCAAGTCATTCAACCTTTGGGGCTTGGTTTCCTCATTTGTAAGATGAGGAAATAGACTTAAGCAACTTCCAAGGTTCCTTCCAGCATTAAATCTGGATGCAGTTTTAAGTGTGGGTAATGACTGAATAAATAAAACAATGTCACTCTGTACTTCAGATACAATTCAAGATGCTATTCTGATAACTTTAACCAGGTGAGAACACTTCTCAACTTAACCAATCATTGATTTTAGATTAATTGAAAAAAAAACAACTCCGAAACAACTTATATGACCTTGAAAGCCATCTGATGAAGCTGAGTAACATTTTACAGCAAGCCTGTTTGGAGCGGATGAAAAAATCTGGTCATGCTCTGAGAGTCATCTATAAAATGGCATAGTTCAAAGCCAAGGATTCAAGCTTCTGACAGCTTAAATGCTGTACATCTTCCAAAGAAACCTATGAGAAGAAGTGCTGAGGGGTGGAAGAGAAGAACTCACAACTTGGTTAGAGGAAGACCTTGTGGGCTTCAAAGATAAACAACAGCAGGTCTTCCCCATTTTCCAGCTCTAAGGAGGTCTCTCATCTTCAGCCAGTGGAGGGGAGGTGGGGAAGGGGTAGAAGAAAGGAGCTGGGTGGTGAAAAGCCTGATGTATGTACTCCTCCTGATTATGAGAAGGTATATTTGTTTGCCCTCTTTGACCAGAGTAAATTATTTAACTTGAAAAGGCTACAAGACAAAACTAAAGTAGAGGGAGAGTCGGTGCATAATTTTTTGTTTGAAGATGATTGCACATTAAATGCAGCCTCTGAATCTGGCAAATTGGATCACCGGAGCTCAAATAATGTATCTCCCTTCAGGGTCCTTGGGGATAGTTCTGAAGGGTTAGGGGCATTTCTCTAATGTATTATAGCTCATAGGCCCCCACAGGTGTGCTTCCTACATTATCTGTTGATATCAGTTAATCAGCTTGAGTTAACTAGCTTTTAGAAAGGAATGTCTACTAAGGTGGAATACTAAAAAGAATGGTGTAAAACATCCTTCTGTGTGCCCCCCCCAACTTTCCTGGAAGAAAAAAATAAGACTGTGACAAATTATCCAGCAAATACATATGGCGTCTAGGGGAAAGTGGACTGAAGCTTAGAAAGCACATGTGACCAAGGATTAATTCACAGTTCCTGGTTGTTGGAAGTCTTTTTTCTCCTAGGATATGGTGGAGCTTTCTCTTGGTTTCCTTCTAGTGTGCCTTGAAGCTGCCTTTCCTCAGTGTCTGCCAGTGTCATTTGAGGTTGGGAGAGCAGGTCCAGAGCCTATACATACACTGCATTATGGTTCCCTTGAATCAGGTACATTCAGTACAGCTACATTTTCGCTATCCACATCTGAAAAGAGGAACATATGCTTCCTCTACAAAGGGAAAGCTTCCCAAGATTCTCTGAATATTGTAATTTGCATGTAACATAAAGTGCTCCCCAAAATGTATTGTAACTATTAGAATATAATGGGTTGGAAAAGGACGAACTGTTCAACATTTCAGAGTTTCAACTAAGAGGAACTAGGTTATCACTTATGGGATTGTATTTTGGAATGGGAAGGGAATTCACTAGTCCAACTCCCTCGTTGTACAGATCATGAAACCAAGCCCATGGAGCTTAAGTGACTTACTCAAGGTCACAAAGAAAGCAAGGATCCCAGCCAACATTTGAAACCAGAGATTCTGACTTCAATTCCTGTGCTTTTCCTATTACACTATAATAATCTGAAAAGTGAAGAAATATAGGATTTATTTATTACAAAAAAGAGATTTTGTAACATTTATGTCCACTATACAATACAGTGGAATATTTTCAGAAAATGAACATTAAAATAGAAAAAAAAATTTTTGGTACCAATTGCAAAGATCAACTGCCATGTATAGGAGACTGCTAAGTTAAGCCCCAAAGCCTCAACTATGAGGATACCAATAAAGCAATGGAAGGGTCTGCTACTTTGTACTTAATTTTGACTAGTCAGGAAGAAGTTTAGTCAAATGAAAGCTAGGTATAAGAACCCTGATTTGACCACATGGT